GAGGAAAAGTTTATTTTGGGCTCACGGCTTCAGAGGTTCAGTCTACTTACTGTTGGCCAACTTCATTGCTCGAAAGCCGTCAGCTCATAGCAGCCAGGAAGCAGAGAGCAAGAGAGAAACCAGTTACAAGATAGTCAAGATCACACCCCCAGTGACTTACTTCCTCTAGCCAAGCCCCCACCTGCCTACAGTTACCATCCAGTAGTCCATTCAAATGAATTAATCTGATGAGGTTACAGCTCTCATAATCCAATCATTTCATCTCTGAACATCCCTGCATGGCCTAACACATGAAATTTTTTTTGGCAGGGGGCAGGGGGGGTACTAGGGATTGAACTCAGAAGCACTCAATGACTGAGCCACATCTTGAGCCCCGTACTGTACTTTATTTAGAAACAGGGTCTTACTGAATTGCTTAGCACCTTGCTTTTGTCTGATTCTGGCTTTGAACTTGTGATCCTCCTGCCTCAGTCTCCCCAGCCATTGGGATTACATGCATGTGCCACTGTGTCCAGCACATATGAACTTTTGGGGAGACACCTCACATCCAAACCATAACAACCTCTAAAGCAATAAGCTAATTGTTGACTTTTTTGGTATGAAAGTCACATTTCAATATTGGGTGTTACCTATTGTATCTTGAGTCTATTTTCTTAGAATATACAATTGTGAAATAACTTTCTTAAGGTTTGCACAAAATATGGAACACTTCACAAATTTGCGTGTCATCCTTGGGGCAGGGGCCATGCCAATCTTCTCTGTATTGTTCCAATTTTAGTATATGTGCTGCCAAAGTGATCAGAGTTCTTTTTGTTTGTTTTTTGTTTTGGTACTGGGGATTGAACTTAGGGGTACTTAACACTGATCCAAATCCCCAGCCCCCACCCCCATTTGTTTGTTTGTTTTGTTTTGTTTTTTGAGACAAGGTCTCACTAAGTTGTTTAGGGACTTTGCTGAAGCTGGCCTTGAAACTTGCAATCCTGCTGCAGCCTCTCAAGACACTGGGATTATATGTATGTACCACCACGTCCAGCTAACTGTTGAGTTTTGATGAAGCTAAGTGTTCAGTGTGGGTATATGTGCATATATATATATATATATATATGTTTATATTTAACTTTTAAATTAATTATAGCATGATATTTCATATGAACTTGCTGACTGGCAAAAACTAGTTCCTTAAAATATTATAGAAATGTACAGGAAATGGACAGTGGTGGTATATATGCCATTAAAGAAACTGTTTAGTGCTTCGTGTTTATTGTTTATTGTTTCAGGTTTTCAGGTGGTTAAACAATAATAGGGGATGTCTAAATTTCCTTATTAGTGATAGCTTATGAAAGAGTTCAAAGAGGCCACTGAAGGTTTTGACAGTCTGGAAATGGTACAAATGCACCCCGGTACACCCCGTCACCTCCACAGTAGCTCTTTTTAATGAGTAGCAAGGCCAGGAATGACTTCTGCAGCCTCACTCCCCACTGTCTTACCAAGGGTTTAATCTGTGAAACCCAGGCAAGTGTGGCAAAGGAAAGGACACCTACTGGCATGGACTTGTAGCCACCTCTCTTTTCTCACATTAATTTAAAAAGCCAAGAAGCAAGGCTGAGAAACCAGGCTGTGATGACTGGTTAGACTAATAATCCACCTGCTGGAGATCTGCAGGTTGCATGCAGGGTAATATTCTGATTGCTTCCCTTGTAAGTTTGGCTTTTATATAAGCAAAGAAGCAGGTTATTTCCAGCACAGCTAAATTAGTTGGTGTTAAACCTCCTTTCCTAAAAACAGACATTTTCTTAGCAGAAAACAATTTCTCAAGCAGAGAAAACTTATACAATCATTTATCTCAATACAAGTGTAGCTAATAATATGAATAGCAAAAACACCTCATTTTGACTAGTAAAATGAGCTGAGAGATGAGTGGAAAGTACAATTCCAATAGTAAGCTACTCATGATCTAAAACAACCAGATTAACCCACTAAGTCCCAAGATTTCAATTCTATAAACATGATAAATATTCAAACATTATTTTAAAATTACTTGAAGTAGCACATTTGTTACTCTATTTAATTTTTCTTTTTTTTTTTGTAGTTGTAGATTTTCAGAATGATCTTATTTTATTTGTTTATTTTTATGTGGTGCTAAGGATTGAACCCAGTGCCTCACATATACTAGGCAAAATGGGTTAAGCTAAAGTACCTTTAAAATAATTAGAGGAAAATCTGATCCACAGGAGATTTCAGGAATATGCCTAAAAAATATCAATAAATTTTAAAAAAAATGGAAAGAACCACATTCTAGTCCTAACTTTGATATTTAAATCTCTCTTTTTTCCAATGGTACTGGGGATTGAGCCCATGCACGCTGTACTATTGAACTCCATCCGCAGGCCTTTTTATTCTGAGACAGTGTCTTGCTAAATTGCCCAGGCAAGCTTCGAACTTGTAGTCCCTCTGCTTCAGCCTCCCAGGTAGCTAGGATTAAGGTGTGCACTACTGTACCCAACAACTTATTCTTTTATCTCAAAATCACATTAATATTTAAGGATAATCTCTTATTTGTATCATCAAATACTGAGTACAGTTCTTGAAATATAGATAGAAATTAAATATTTGTAGGACAAGTAAAAATTAAATGAAGTAACTATGACAATTTTGAGTTTCTTGGTGGAATAGGGCCGAGTTCCTAGAAGCTTTGACATCAGAAAATTATTTTTGCAGTTTTGAAAATGTTAAAAAAAAATATATATATGTATATATGAGGAATCTTCATGCCTGGGAATCTAAATTAAAGGAAGAGAAGATCAAGTTGTGAGAGAGTTCCCAAGTCTAGGAGTGCTAAAGTCACAAGGTGAACCTACGGAATACTATGCCCGGTGCCTCTGTCTTCTATCCTTCCATTCTAGTTCCTCCTTCTTGGGAAAGCCAAAGTTTTTGACTAATTGCTAGATAATGTCTGTAAAAGACCTTCAGAGGCTAAAGTCAAGGTTACTTTCACCTTTAGCGGAGGCAGATATGGCATGGGGCTGAGCACCTCTATCTGAACAGCTGGGTCTGGTTGGTCTGAAAGTCAAGGGTAGGATCTATTGTGATTTCTTACAGGTGTTACCTGCTGAACACTATAAGATTGTGTTGACTTCAAGTGCCCTTTCAGGTCAAGACCCCTAGGCTGTCCAGCACTTAATGAATGTCCTATGCAGAAAACTGGCCACATATTTGGGTTTCTTCAAGAATTCATTGTGTTGTGCCAGCCCATACAGTTATCATAAGCTCTGCTGGGTTTTCTCTCTTGGTAGAGTCCTGCCTAGAACAAGCCTCACGCTCATCAGCCCATGCTCAAACTCTGCAAGTACCACAGTGAGAGACAGTGGCTGGCAATGTCAGCTCCCCTATAAAAGGCTCCTTCCTCTCTGAAATTTTAGTTCATTACTGCTCACTGCTTTGCACCGAAGACAGCTTTTTAATGTCTTCCCAAAACTTATTTTGAAAAACTGTTATAATTTTATCTAATTATTACTGTGAGAGTGATAGCTTGCCTCTCCCTATTAAATGACATGGAAGCAGAAAACTCAGGATCATTTTTTTGTTTTCTTTTCATTGCTACAAATGTGATATAAAAAATATTAGTTGTTAAGATAAAATAGAAATTAATTCTTTTTCTTTTCTTTCTTTCTCTCTTTTTTTTTTTTTTGGTACCAGTGTGCTTAACCATTAAGCCACAACCCCACCCCCTTTTTGAGACAGGGTCTGGCTAAGTTGTTAGGGCCTTGCTAGTTGCTGAGGCTGGCCTTGAACTTTCAATCCTTCTGTCCAGCCTCCCAAGTCCCTAGGATCACAGGTACAAATCACTACACCTGACAGAAACTATCTCTTTTTGATGTAAGAATGAAGGTAGATGAACAATTCTGAGTGGATGGGTTATCAGGGACTTCGGAGTTCTCTTTGTTGTTCTATCCTCTTTTAAGGTGTCTTCATTAGCATCTGCATCAGCAACCACATCTACATTCTATTCCCCAAGAAGAAAGAAAGAGAAATAAAGGGAAAACCTCTTCTGTTTTAAAGGCTATAATGTAGCAGTGGTCCACAATCTCTCTGTTCACTTCCTACTGACCAGAATTTCATAACATGGCTATTCCTGCCTGTAAAACAGACTGGGAAATATAGACTGCCGCTCAGTGTCCATGCACTACCTAAAACTCGGAGACTCAACTACTAAAGAGAGGCAGACTGTATACTGGGGGCCAGTTAGCAGTCTCTGCCATATATGTTACGAAGAATAACTCTAACTAGATTTTTCCCTTAAATTGTCAAGTTTTCCTGAAACCTTGTATTAACGAATCTTTTGTTGAGGCTGGGGGTGTGGCTCGCCTGGCATTCGAGCTGCGCTGGGTTCGATCCTCAGCACCACATACAAATAAAGATGTTGTGTCCACCAAAAACTAAAAAAAATAAATATTAAAAAAGAATCTATTGTTCTGTTTACTTTGTGATTTTCTTTATCATAAAAGAGCCTCCAAAGTTAGCATACAAATATTTAATTTGTATTTTTTATTTTATTTTATTTTTTACAGGTGTAACTCATGGTCAAGTGCTTGCCTAGCATGCCTACCCCACATACACATGTGTGTGTATACACACGCACATACACACACACACACACACACACACACACACACACACACTCACAGAGTCTGATGTCCCTCAATATAGAAAAATACTTATTTATAATTTTGAACCAGGTCATCCTCATCATAGACAATAAACACTATTCCAAATGAATAAAATTGACAAAGTTGGAAAACATCTTTAAAAAATATCTTGAAGCATAATTTAGAGGTTATGCTAACCTGATAAAAATCCAAAAATAATATACAAAGTTTTTTACAAAGATACAATGAAGCAGGCTGAAGCAGTGGCTCAGCGGTAGCACACTTGACTGGCATGTGTGAGGCACTGAGTTCAGTTCTTGGCACCACATATAAATAAATAAAGGTCTATCAGCAACTAAAAAAAATTTTTTCTAAATATACTATGGACATTTAATGGAGCAAAAATGGTCTTTTTAACAAACAGAACTAGGGGCTGGGGATGTGGCTCAAGCGGTAGCCCGCTCCCCTGGCATGCGTGCGGCCCGGGTTCGATCCTCAGCACCACATACCAACAAAGATGTTGTGTCTGCCAAGAACTAAAAAATAAATATTAAAAAATTCTCTCTCTCTCTCTCTCTCTCTCTCTCTCTCTCTCTCT